GCTCATCCCGTTACCGCGCCGTAAAAAGAAGAAAAATGCTGCGCCTTCATTGTGATTCACGGACATTGTTATATGTATGCGGGTGGCTATCCCATGCGTCTCAAAGGTTTTTCATAAAAAAAAACAATGGAGTCCTCTCACGTCCATCTTCCAAACGGGTTCCTATCATCGGCATGACGTCGAAAGGAGTAGAAAAAAAAATAATTCTGTAAGGTCAATGACAGGGGTCCTCTTGTTGCTTCTCCTGCCTCCTAATGAATCCTCAGCATTTTTTTTTTAATATTTTTTTTTTTTATGAGTGAACCCCTCTTAATTATGAATGCATTTCAGACCGTTCACCTGCCGTTCCGGGCCGGAGGGGTCAGCACTCGTGATAATTAATTTATACGATTCGGCAGGAGTGGAAAGGAATCTCGTCGGCAATGACTCAGCCTCATGCGTCTGTTTTTTTTTGTGAATGAGAGGGCACTAAGAGGTGAAACGTGCCGTCACGAACAGAGAAGATTCAACTACTGCTCAACAAACTAATTACTTCTTTAACTGATGAAGATATTTTTTTCTCTCTCTCTCATGCTGAAATTCATTTCTTACCTTTCCTCAGAGAATAGATTTTCATATGTCGGTTTATCTATTTATTCTTATGCTTCCACCGAGAAGGAATTTCCTTCCTTCTTTGGTGCAGGTACTTGCAACCCCCTTCATGGACTCGATGGCGAAGTGAGATAGGATTTCTCGTTTCGTGGCCGGACAACCCCGACCTGCCTCTTTATCAGGAGCTGGTTCCTCGAATAACGGGGAGGAATACTCGTTCCGTGTACCACTTTTCCCCTCCGGCCTGTTTTGGTATGCCCGTTTTGATTTTTTTTTCCCCCGCCGATACGAGGTTGCGCAAGCGGTGCGAGTGTGTCGAAACCGTCGGAATGCACCCGTCACTCCCAGCGATGCTGGACGTGAGGCCGGACGTGAGAGCGGACGCGAGGCCGGACGCGAGAGCGGTCACGACGCCGGTCCTCATCATCGCGATGAACGAAGGAGGCTTATAACCCTCATCATCGCGATGAACGAAGGGGGCTTATAACCCTCATCCTCACGATGAACGAAGGAGGCTTACAACCCTGCGGTTCGATAGTGGCGATAATGAGTTTCCAGGTGGGAGAGACGTAAAAAAAAAAAAGTTTAAAGCGTGGGTTCATCGCACTCGGTGAAAATAAATGACGACTAAATACAGGTCCAAAAATTCCCGCTCAGAACGCTCTCAGATGAAGAGGCTTTCAAGAACAGAAGGGAAAAAAAAAAAAGAAAGGAAAGGAAAAAAAGAAGAGAAAAAATCTTATCTCCTCCCACTTGATAGTGGAATGCTCCTCCCGGCAGACAACTCTGTCAAGTCCGAAGAGATATGTAATGATGGAGGGAGTTTTCTATTTGCTTCTGGAGGATTCGACCTATCTCTCCGTTTGTCGTGTTCGTCACGAAGAGAGACGGAATCTCTCCCGGAATCTCTTCCGGAATCGCCTGGAACTGGTGGTGTATGAAATCGGCTGTGGTGTGTGGAAGCGTGGTGTATGAAGGCGTCGTGACGGTCTGCTTCTTTTTTATCGCGAGGGAAAAAAATTTCCTGCGTGGCTAGGCGAATCGAGGGTGCTGCATGAAGTCGAGGGCGCTGCATGTTTGTCGTTGTTGAACCGTGGAGAATGGCCAGGAAGAGGGAGGAAATGGCCCGTGAATCACGGAGGTGGGACCCTGTTGCTACACCCACTTAAAAATATAAAAAAAAGTTTGAATTTTTTTTTTTTTTTTTTTTACCTTTGGAGATCCCACCGAAGTGAAGCGGGCCGTTAGCGGATGCCAATCAAGATGCGTGAAGGGGAAGAGAAAATCGGTGCGGGGCGAAAGTCTGTATCTATAATCTGGTGTATTGTTTTCACGAATGATGAACAACTTCCGGGAGCGATTCCGTGATGCACTTTGTTGATTTATATTGTCATCGGGGACGCTCGAGTGCGTAATCCTTTTTTTATGGATGGGTTTTAATGTGCGTCTAATGTTTCCACTTTTATGCGCTGTAATCTTATGTTATTATTTATGATAATTTAATATATTGGTCTAATGCTTTTATTACAATGCTGTTATTGTTTTTGTTCACCCCTCGCGGAGGTGAACGGCCGTCACTTCCTTCGCCGTTTTTTTTTTTATGAGAAACCGATCCAAACCTGCGGCGAAAAAGCGTTTAGCCGAATTTCCGCTCCGTTTCGCCATTTCTCACATTTTTTTTTTTAGTTTCTTTTGCGTCGTTTCGCGGGATCCGCATTCCTCGCCGCGGAATATTCCGCAATTTTTTTTTTCCCGCCGGTTACTCTGGCGGTTATTCCGCGCGTGTGGGTGTGTGGGTATTATGCCCCCTCACGAGGGAATATACGTCGGCACATATTCATGAATCTCTCCCGGGACATGCAGGCACGCCCTTCGCGAGTCCGATGAGAAAAGACCCCGCCAACACTTCATGAAAAAAAAAACCTTGACTCATTCTTGGAATGATGCAACCTGGTTTCAACCGACTCCAAGCACAATTAATTCCTCTCTCTCTCTCTCGGGGGCAGATGAGATGCTCCATTGTTCGGGGGGGCATGAGGCAATCCAGAGTGCGTGACGAATGGGGGAGGAGACAAAAGAGAAAAAGGTGGTCTATCTCGTCCCTTTTTACCAGCTTTCCCTGGGAATTTTTTTTTCCAGTTCACGGAAGAATGGCTCTTGCGAATGTTAGGTGAAAGGGGGAGGGTCAGAGGGATTTCCAGAAAATTCCTAATTGTTGTTATTTTTTTTTTTTTGAAGATGTCATAGGGAATGAATGTAAGCCAGGGAATGAATGTAAGGCAGACTTTCTCTCCTGTTCCTCTCATCATGGCCATTCCCCCTCCCGTTATGTCTATTTTTAGTGCTGTTTCTCTCCGGCTCCCCCTTCCATATGGCTACCTCTTCCTCGCTTTATGCCGACAGTGCCGGCGAGAAACGGTTTCTGACTGCTCGGGTCGTGAGAACGGGGTCAGCAGATCCCCCAGCCTATCTGGTTTTTTTTTTTTAAATCTGGATCGACCCTGTTTCTTCGTAATCTTGTTCGCAGATGATTTCGGACGGTAATGAACATCATTCAGGGGAAAGAGATGGGGATACGGTTAAAGGGCCACGGTTAAAGGGCCACGCCCAGTACGCGTGAGGGTAGTTAGTCGCGTCGAGGGACTCGTAAGACGTGACCTGCATGGCATTTTTTTTTATTACTTCAGTGGACTCGATGGACTGGACCGAGCTGTATTCGCAGGCCTGGTCATCTCCCTCTCTCGGGTGTTGTGTAATTTGGACTCGGAGGGGGTCGTGACTGGCAGGGGGAAAAAAAAAATGGGGAAGGGAAAGTCCCTCTTGTGAAAATGGGACCTGCCCTGTTGATTGCCTCCTCATGATCTGAATTACTTTACTGAGGGCTGTCATTACGTTCCCGGCTGGATCTGTGCTCTTTGGGCCGTCGCTTTCACGTTCTCGATGGGTCCTCAATGAGCGCCATTGATTGACCCCGCGTTATGGTTCACGGCAGGCGAAAGGTAATGACGATCGAAACCATTTCCCGGTCCGGTAATGATCGGGAATTAACAACTCCTTATAATGGGGACAGGATGACGTGGTTATTACGTGTTTCATTACGGGTGAGTGTAGTTGTAATTGTAAACGATCCAAAGCGGATTCGAATAGGCTATCGAGAGATAATCGTACTCGGATTCGCCTTGTACTCGTCGACCGCGTGCAGCTGAGAAGAGCATTGTTGTGTTTCCACCCACGCAGGTATGTGAGATGCGTTTCCCGGCCGGACGGGATGTGGTCAGTGTTGCCCGAGATGCCCGTGACGACTAGGTACTCGGCAACCCTGGACCGCTCCTACGAGGAGCGGTCGGAGCTGCAGAAGCCGCTGGAGATCAGTCCCAGGGTCGGGGAGGCGAACGGGAACGGGAACGGGAACGGGAACGGGCACGAGAGGACTGGGTCCCTCGACAGCCTCGATGACCGGAGCACGACCAGCAGCACGGGGAGCACGAATTCGCCGCAGGTAATTCGGGCGATTGTGACGGTACTAAGGGTTTCGTGCCGGGAGTTTACTTGCTGCATCATACTGATGATGCCGTTTCATGGGTGGTGGTATGCAGTGACCTCTGTGATCAGTGAAGCTAGAAGGGAACCTGACATGGCTCGAGGACGTGTAACGTTGAGTGATAGATCTTCAGGATGAGTTGTGGTTTCGCCGCGGTCGTGGCTTGAATTTTTCATGTCGTGTGCGGAAGGATTCCGTGATTCATCCGCGTGCGATATCCTTTTCGAGCCGACCAGCCCTTTAACGAAAAAAGAAAAGTGGGAAGGAAGCTGGAAGCCAAGGCCGTTTCACTCGAGCGCGCTTCCGCGTGAGGTCGCGGTGGGCTTTCGATGTGCGTACTGGGAATTGCGTGCGCCTGTGAGGCCTTATCTTCGTGCGAGCGTGGAGGGAGTGTTACCGGGTCCCGCCCCTGCTTTCAACGCGCCATTTCCTCCCAAGCGGAGGTGATTTGCGGAACACGTCATCACATCGGCCCGTATCCCGTTTCGGATGCCGCTCTGCATGAACGTCCCTGCGGTTTGGCTTCCGCCCTCCACCGGGCAAGGGTGAATATGGGGGAGGACGAAGGGAGGGGGAAGCGAGGGCGAAGCGAGGGTGAAGCGAGGGGGAAGCGAGGGGGAAGCGAGGGTGAAGTCTCGGTAGGAAGCAGTCGCGTCTTTCCAGTTTCCGCTACGCTTCTCAGACGTGCACGTGCGGCATCCTTTGAGACGCGCGGGGCGACGTGTGCATTAGCGTGCTTATCCCGGTCCGCTCACGCACTCACGCATACACATGTTTGCCGTTTCCGCGCATGCCATGTTTCTACAAATGCGCTCTAGCGTGAACCGGTCTGACCGGAACACGACCGGGGCATGAGGGGGGCACGAGGATGAAGTAACGGTGCGTAGTTTTGCAGGGAGCTTTGTTCAGGCCCTGATTATCTTTGTGAACTTCTGTTCTCGATCTTTTCTCACGAGCCGTTCGCTCAACGGCATTCTGGAAAGGAAAATTTATTCGACGGGGAGAGAAGGGCAAGGGCGTTCCGCGAATCTTCTCGGGTTTCAGAGAGTCTCGCCGTGAGGAATGATGGACCAGATGCATTTCTAGTATGCCAAATTCTTGAATTTTCGATCCTCAACGAAGAAGGGTAGACAGTTTGGATCGGGGGGAAAAAAAAGTGCCGGAACGCACTACTGCCCCACAATCCTTATTTTATTCAGTCAGGTGACCCTTGCTCGCCAAGATGACATTTTTATAGCATGCCTTGAATAGATCCGCTTCAAGGGTTCTCAACCGTGGAATCGCTTAGAATTTTTGAGAGTACACGTTTTTTTTATGATCAGCTACTGCGATGAGCTCTTCGTATATTCTCCGGTTAGGTCAGGGTGGAGTTAGGTCGGGGTGGAGTTAGGTCGGAGTGGATGTGTGAGGTTCCAGGCATGGGCCTCGACTTTTTTTTTTTTGGACTCGACTTTACTCTTGAGGTTGGGGCCGAGCCTGTATTGCTGGCAAACACGAAAGAACTCGTGAGCAATAAGTGTGCTGGTTCGGTTGCCACGGTTTGCGACGATTTCGGAGTCCAAATCCTGAAAAGTAGCAAATTTTGGCAGAATTTGGTTTGAACAGTTGGTGTAGGCTTAATCCCGTCTCGGGTGAGCCTGAACTCGTTTGCTTCATAGGGCCGTCTGAGATTCAGAGATTGTTTCTGCTAAATTCAGAGATTGTTTCTGCTAGATTCAGAGATTGTTTCTGCTAACTCGGGTTTGCATGCCCATTTCAGGCGTCGGGAGACAATGGGGTTTTGAGTCCCGGGGAGGAGTTCATCCCGACGCGGAGCAAGAAGACGAGCATGGTGGGGAAGCCGGCGTACAATCCCCTCCAGTTCATCCAGGTGGGGCCGGCCAAGCTCTACAAGTCGGCCCAGGAGCAGCTGGAGCAGGCGGAGAAGATCAAGCAGAAGAGGACCGAGGTCCGGAAGGAGGAGGAGGAGGATTGGCAGGCTGTGAGTCTCGTTGGTTTTTTTTTTTTGGCGGAACGCGGTTTTTGCGGAGGGTGTTCTGCACGAGCTGTCGTCGTGCAGAATCTGGACAACTGGAAGAGCTGTCGGAGGAAGCGGGTGGAAGACGTCATCGAGAGGGTGGTGGAAGTGAAGAAGCTGGAGGAAGAATCCGAGTGGGCCAACGCCAATCGCAAGAGCAAGACCTTCAGCGAGATGATGCAGGAGAGGTGAGGCGTTTCTCCGCTTTGCACTTTCAAAAGGAGGTGTCGTTTCGTGGATTTGACCCGATGCCGGCGTCGTGGCAGGAGTGCACGGGGCCGGAAGGTGGGCCTGAGTCTTTCATTGTACACGGACGCGGACGACCGGGACCTGTCGGATCTGGGTCTGAACAGCGAGAAGAGCGAGAAGAACGGGGAGGAGGATCTCTCCGGATCCTTCTCGTCGGGTCGGCACGGCAGCGACTGGACCGACGACGACGTGAGTCTTCCCTGTTTGTCTTGGACAGCGGCCTCGTCCTCCTCCGAGCGGAGGGAGGTTTACGATAACAGGCCGTTTCCCGGATCCCGTTCAGCTGTTGCTCGTTCTTTCCTGTTTGCATTCCGTGACGGTCCGAGAGCGTATGCCAAGGCTGCCTGGCGCGGGGCCCCAGATTAGAAAATATGAGGAGATGGAGAGATTGCTTTGTCGTAAATTCTTTGAATCGCCTTTTGTGTCGAGATTATCTGGGGCCGTGAAGTATCAATAATATCAATTGCTCGTGAATTTCTGTCTCTCTGAAGAGGCCCTTCGGTGATAAGACCCGGACCTGCCGATAGAGTGGTCTCGACTGAGATAAGTGTTCACTGCCGTGTTTGTGCCTCGATTAGGACCCGTCTCATCCGGCTGTATTGCAGGGCGAGGCGAAAAAGAGCGTCTGGGCGGACGACGTCGACCCGCGAGGCGAACCGCGAAGCGAAACGCGAAGCGACCCCGTCCAGATCAGCTTCGGCTGCTACACCCGCTACTCCTCCCAGTCCAGCGACAGCAACGGCAGCGTGACCAGTGAATCCTTCGCTTCCGTCGTGCAGAGAAGTGCAGACGTGTACTCGAGTGATAGTTTGACCGCGATCCGACGGAAGAGCGAGGGGGCGGTGCCGACGCGGCCCGACGCGGTCCGACACACGCGGAAGTCGGACCTTTCGGACAAGTTTCGAGACAGGCTGTCTGTGTTCGAGCAGTCGGCCGAGGCCGAGGCGACTCCCAAGCCTGCTCCGGCGAGAGGAAGCAAGGACTTCGGGAAGAAGCTCAACGCCTTCCAGGAGGTGGGGAAGATGGCCTCGCCTTCGCGACCGCCGGAGAAGAAGGCCTCGGTCGACGTCACCCCCCGTGTCCCGGTGAAGGAAAAGGTGGCGTCGATCGACAGACGAGACTCCCGCGAAGTCCCCCGTGCCCCGAGGGAGAAAGTGAACTTGTACGAGAAGAGTCAGAGCCAGAGTGACCTGAGTGGGAAGAGCCGAGGTCAGAGCGAGCCGGTCGAGGAGGCGCCCCCGATCCGCCTCAGCCCGGCCAAGTCCCTGCCGCAGCTCAACCAGGAGGAGCCGGATTCCGAGGAGGAGCGCGAAGCCGACGAATTCGTGTTCGAGGCGCGCCTCGCGAAGGCGTCCTCGCAGACCTTCAGCAAATCGGTGATGGACCTGTCGCAGCGCGGCGCGGCGGAGGCGGTCGTGATCCCCGTGCACAGCGTGTACCGGGCCCCGTCCACGCCCTTCCTCAACGTGGACCTCAAGCGACAGGAGGAGGTGGAGGAGGAGATCGTCCCCACGCTGAAGAAGTCCCTCGCTCCCAGTGTGAGTTTCCTCGCCCTCGCCGGTCTGCATGAAGGGACTCCCCCTCCCACTAACACAGAGTCTGCCGAGGTCAGTTGACGTTTTTGGCGTTTCGTAGTGCATGGCAGCTCCCACGCCGGCTGCGCCGTTCGTGGCCGTAGTTCCTGCCGCTTGTGCATCTTGGAAGCGCATTGGCCTGCATCTTGCTTTCTCTTTCCTCTCGTCTCCTGACCATGCGTCTTGTATGAATGGGTTATGTCTGTTGCCGTTGCATTATTGGAGCATGTCTGTTGCTGCCGCCAGATATGTCTCATTTATCATGCAGGTGTTGCTCAGATCCATCCCCTACACGCCACGGAAAGCAGGTGCATTTCTTGTTACTTTCCCCATTACCCCATTCATCAGCTTTTCCCTTTCACATTTTATAATCCTGCTTGTGGTTTGACCCCCACTGACACCCCATAATCCTAATGAGAAGATTTAAAGGTATTTGAGTTTTGAGGTTACCTAGATAGGGTGCATATAAAAATCGGGTCATCCTTTTGGTACCGGGTGACCTTGGCACTTATGAAAGCAAAGTAAGAAAGAAGTGAGATGTTCTGAGCTAATCGCAAGGGCATCGTTATTGAATTCTGATTGAAAAGCACTATGATGCAGTAGGTAAGGAATTACCATGGTGGCTGTCTTTGTCATCGCATTCAATAGCTGCTTATGCGTTCACACCATGGGCCTTGTGTATCGCTGGCAGTTTGGATTCTGAAAAGATTTCAGATTATCTATGGCATTTGTAATACTCAGGGTCGCAAGCGTTTGCAGATCTGAAACTACCAGTGCTTTGGGGAGCCTTGGAACAACCAGTAATGACTGCAAATGGCAGATAATGTGTTAATGGAGCTATTCCAAGTGTCTGAGTCCCAAAACTGACCTTTTTCTCATAAGAGATTGAAATAGTCAATTATTGGTAAGTGTTTTATGCAATATGTGCCTGCATGAATTCAAGGATTTAGACAGATCTGGTTTACTCTCGTGTGTTGGTAATGCCTGGGACTTTTAAGCTGTTGAGGAAAAGAGCCAAACATAAAACATTATCAGAGTGCATAGAGTGGTTTCTTCATTTACATATTACAAGCAAGCACTACCCTCTTAGTTACTATTATAGTTATTTTGTCACATTAGTTATCATATGTGATAGTGAATTATGGAAAGCCATCTACTGGGAGTGGTACTCAACAAAAAATATGAATGGTGCCCGAGCCGTTATGGCCATGTAATAACTCAGAAGTTCTTATGTGCATGAAGACTGGTAGGGCTATCATAGATTACAGTGTTGTTCACTGTGGAGATAAGGGGTCAGTTGGGTTTGCAGTTGAAAATGGATTACCAGTGTCAGAAGGTTCTTCCCAGCTTTGCATCATTCTGGAACTGATTTATGAGATTTTATTTGCTTGTTATCTCTCATCCTGACTGGGAATTCTTATCATGCAGGCAGTAATTCTAATTGGCCTGTGGGAGGTGAGATTCCAATATGAAAAGTGGAAACTTGAGATAAGTGTGCTCTTTTTTCCCCCTAGATGAGAGATTAGAGCCATCATCAACATGACCTCCTTTTTTTTTTCCCCTCACATTTTTATCAGCTGAAACGGAGAATCCTCCCTTTCTCTTGCCCTTCCTCATTCTTCTTGTCTTCGGGCTGGAAATAGTTTATTCCAAGGACTGAATGACATATGAGGATGTGAATTCCATCTGATCTCCCAGGCATTCATTCTTTGCATTATATCTTGTTCTGATAGGAGTGAACATCTCCTCTATTGTTTCCTTGTTCAATTGTGAAGTGCTTCATTCAGCCAGGTCCATTCTTTATTATTAGTAGCCTTGGATATTGTTTTCATTCCAGTAAGGACTGTCAAGGTGTCACATCTACCGTACATCCCTTATATTCTATTCCATAAATCCAAGGCATAGGAATCTCTTTTTGATCCCAAAATGCTTCTGTTATGGCTCTTATGCCACACTCATAAGATTGGGCAGGGCAGTCAATGTAGTGGGAGGTTCATGTAGGCTGTCAAGGAACCTTGTTTAATATCTAACATATCCTCATGGGATATTCATTCTCAGCACAATGGTACTGGTATCATCTGATTCATATCAGATGCCTCTAGTGTGGAAAGATCACTTAAATTAGTCTTGTCTTATCTTTGTGAGCCTGTCACTACTTTCTCTATGCAAAGAAAGCAACAAAAAAAAAGCCTCAATTAGAATATTTTAAAGTAGGTGTGTGGTCAGGATCTCAACTGGAGTTTGTTGTTGTTTTAAAGTTCATGGCAGAAGCAGGCATCCTTGGTTGAATTTTATTTAAATATTCTTGGCAGAGAGGTGTTGGATGTAGGGCTTGATATTTAATAAGTATCTTTCACTTGCTTCTATGGCCCTCCATTGTTCTCCATCCCCTCTGGCACCCCATTGCTGCATTCCAAGCCCTTTTGGATCCACTCTTGAAAGTAGAATATCTGATCAGGAAATTCATAATGAGAGCAGGCTTCAGGATGTGATAGTGAGTTGTCTCTGGTGATGCAATGAAGATCCACATGTAGTGAAAGGAGACCCACTGCTAGAATGGGCTTTCCCAGCATGCGAAGTTCCCACCACGCCCTTTGACGACCCATGCTGAGGCAACGTGGCTGTCATTTGGGTGGATAGAGTATTCATGAAGATAAGATCTATGTTAGCTATGACACTGCAATTGGTAGAATCACCTGCTGAGCAACGTATTGGAGAGCATGATGAATTCACTGCTTGCTGGAAATTTGCCATTTGGCTCAATGTGTTTGCCAGAAAAAAAATACTCCTACCCTTGAGATCAGTCAAAACATTTTCATTTCATAGACCATGGCACCTTCTCTTTCCTGACTGCAGCTAGAGCATAGTCAAGTGCCCCCATCAATGATGGAGAAAGATGATGCTCAAGAGCTGGAGGCAAGTCCAAGTGACAGCCTTGATGATACGTTCTATCACTCTGAGCTGACACCCCATGATGCAGAGGAGCTGCTGACTGGGAAGAAGAGAGAGCCACAGGCCCACAGCCCCATTGGTGGGACCAACAGTGACTCTGGGGTAGAAAGCTCCGAATTATGCCCCGAAGATAGACGAATGTTAGAGCACGACGATTTGTGCATGGAAGATGAAGAGAAGCAAATGGAGAATGATGAGGATGACAGCACTCCTCAACCTCTTGAACTTGAGCAGAGGATCCTCATGCAACTGGAGGCATCTGACAATTTTGGCAGCTCACATCATCAGGTCCTTCACCTTCCAGCTTGGTAGTGAACTGTTTCAATATTTTGGGGAATTTCACAAATTTTGTTTATTTCCAGATAAGAGAGGATGGTCCAGTCAGCATTTTGGACTTTGATCCATTCGCACTGCCAGCAGCGAAGGAGCCTCCTAGGGAAAAACCACCCCCACCTCCTCCTGTGGAGGAGATCCCTCTGTTAGAGACACGCAAGGTGAAACACGTGAAGTTTTAGATTTTCTCAAGATCATTGCACTTTCTTGCATGTACTTTCACTTGTCCCTTTTGCCTGTGTTCTCAAATTGAATGTTATTGGATTATGCACTGTTTGGCATTTTGCATGGTCCACATCACTTCAAGCACTTGCATTGAGCTGAAGTTAATGGCTATGACAGAATGCAATGCTGATTTTTTTAAACTGAAATTCCATAGTTTTTTTCTTAATCACTGTTTAATATATTTTAAGTCTGAAAAAGGCATTTTGTAGCTAAGTCTTCCTTCTTTCCATTACATGTAACCTGAAAAAATATCCTTGAAAGCATCACACCTAAAATGCACCTTGAAAAGTGTGCCCTTTTTTTTGGACCACCCTGTATATCAGTACTTAGCATCATGGCTGAGTGACTAATCCTTATGATAATGTTTTTGCAGAATTTTGAACCCATTTTGCGTGATTCAACAAAGAACCTGAAGAAAAGCCTGTGGAAGAGACGCTCTGACTTCCTTGGCCTATCAGACTCCATGGAACCTGGTAAGTATCTTTGTCAGGAAAAATTTTACACATTGAAACGATTTCCTGAGGGAAACATTTTATGTTGCTGTTGTTATAGAAGAGCCAGAGTTGCTAGTGAGCCCTCCGCCAGACATGGACGAGTTGTTGAGGGCAGAGCGGGCCCTGGAAGAGCGCCAGAGGCAGCTTCTCTCCCGCTCCATCTCCTCTCGAACTGAAGAGCAATCGAACACCTCCTTCTCCAGTATCTCCTCTCCATCCCAAACGCTTCCGGTGAGTTTCTTACCTGGTCTGGTCTTGTTACATGGGGATCAAATAGGGGAACATGTTTTAAGTTAAACTAATTTTTGACATTTTAAAATGCTTTCTTGTGTTTGTTATTGCCGACCTGGTCGAGAAGTCGTCTGGTGCATGCTGCATAGACACATGAGAAGTTACTCAGGTGTTAGAGGCTTGTTTCATTGTAATAGCTTCATTGTCAGGGCAGCCTTCAGTTTTTGATTGCAAAAAAACTGTTTTTATGCTGAAGAAATTAAATAATTTTTTTTTGCATTAGTAGACTTACTCATAACAACATTGCATCATATGGTTGAGTTTTTTACCCTCTGGTGTAATGTAGTGTTGCATAAAACCCTTAAAACTTTGCACAGTATTTGGGTGTGTATCACAGGTGATATAGGTGCATTCTTCCTGGATTCCTAGTATTGGAAATGTAGATTCAGATAAGGATTGATGGTTTTGCAGCACTTTCCCCAGGATGAAGTATTGTATGAGATGGTGCTGTTGAATGGATGCCACAATCTTTAATCTTAACACTCCTTTACTATTTCCTGTGGGAGCATTGAATACTCCACAGTGTACACCACACTTCCATGTACACAAGCATGACTTCTCTACAGTTCTGTGAATAATTTGCAAATCTCACCTGTGGCATGCATTCTCTTGCTATGAAAGAACATTGGGGCCTCAAGAGATATGCATTGCAATGTAGGGTTAGCAATTTGAATGTGTTTCTTAGTGTCATTGTGAGTAGATCAAGATAGTATTAATAAATCATGGGTTTCTCCTAGGTTTAGTGACTGCAGTCCAACCTTGTATACATGTCTTACATGTGTATATGTAGGCTTTTCAGTAGATCTAGTTCAATGCATATCTGTTGCATAACTGTCAGACCCTTGGCTGTCTGCTTAAGCAAGGTTTATGCAGGCCTCCCTGGAGTGTCTCCTTTTGAGGTTTTTTTAGTGCTAGCAATGTAAAACTTAATTTCCAGCGCTGTACAGTTGGGAAACACACTTGTTAGATTGCTTGGTACCTCTACAATGCCAGAAGGGTATCTTTAACAGATGAATGTGGTTGTTGCTAGCTTGCATTTCTTTTCTACCTGATAATGCTAAGGATTTATATAGATAAGTATAGATGTTAATCTAAAAGGAGCAGACAGTCTCTAACTTAAAAAGACAATATACAGACTTATCCCAGACCGCTCTGTGGCATTTATGAAGCAATGAAGACAATTACACAGCATAGTTCCAGTTTATTTTACTTGTGAAGCACATTTTTGCTTCAAAAATTTATTGCCAGTTATTGTCAAAAGATCCAATTTTCCATAATACTTATGAAATGGAACCTATTCATTGTGTCAACTTGACCTGTCATCAAATGTCTTTGGTGAGATGCTTCAATGATGGAAGCCATAGCTGTATTGTTACTGCTGAATGAGATGATCACTGGAATGGGTGCCGTGAACCAATACAATGGCATTTCTTAACTGTGATGTCTCTTCCACCCTTCTCTAGAGTTCAAGAATAGTGCAGGTTTTAAAAAAGTTAAGGGAAGTGCTGACACCAGATAGGGGATAATGACAACTCCATCTCTTATGAAAGTAAAGGTAGCTGAAAGCACATGACCAGTTTGGGGCCCTCTAGTGCCCCTGCCTAAGCACCAATCCATATATTTTTTGTACATTTAAAGCAAGAAGTAATATTGGTGTAGATTAAAATTATTAGGGTAATATTGAATACTTCAGACCTCTTCTTACTTGATCTCAGTTTGTTTGATAGCAGTTCTAGAGTTGCTAGAACCAGTTTGGAAAGAGAGAAACAACAACTGTATTGTTTTGCAGGATGGCATGGATGACGACGAAGAGGAACTGATACGGCAGGAACGTGAGATCATTGAGAGCCTGGAGAGGGAAGAGCGACTCAAGAATATTGGAATCCAACTTCCAAGTATGTCTGTCCTTACTCTGAAATAAATGGGAAGGACAAGGATAACAAGTAAGCCTTGTTATATTAAGTTTGCTCCAGTTATCATTCTTTTTCAAACCCCAATCACCTGAGGGAATAGTGTTAAAGTTATGCCAGAAATAGTTGTCAGGAGAGGACTACATGCAATTGGTCACATTGACTCCTATGAGTCGGTAGTAGGTAGTATGCTGGTACCGAAATTAGTATGTGAGGTTATTGTTTGATGAAGAAAAAAATTCACTATGGCCTACCCATCATGCCCTCACCTGTTCAAATGCCAGAATGCATAGAAACACTATCATTTTTGTTGTGTGCTCAGATCTGGAAGAAGATGAGCGAATCCGCCGATTGGAGGAACAGAGGCAGGACATGGAGGAAGAGCGGCAACGGAAGCTGGAGGAACGCTATGCCGCCCAGTCTCCTTCAGAACAGACCCTGGTGAGTCCCAGAAGAATGCTGCTTTCTTCTCACTTTCATCAATGCATTGAGAAACAAAAGGACCCATTCTGAGAAGCTTAGTCCAAGGACACATGGGTGACAATGGGAGAAATCTCCTTCTTCACTCAGTTGACTGGGAGCATGCATGTGTGTACAGTGAGTAAGCTGTGATCATCAGGGGTTGGTGTGTGGTGTATTATTAAATGCTCTGGAGAAGGGATTCATATAGGGTGTAGAGAAGCTTGTGCATGCTCTGGGTCTTGAAACAGGGACAACCACATTTGCATCTGGAGGTTCCTTTCTTTGTTATCATTGTTCTGCATGTGTTTCTGATATTACTGGTGAAGAAGAAGGACTCTTCATGATTTTGTTGTAGTTTGTTGGCTTTTCCAACCTGCATTGATATTGCCAGTCTTCAGTTATAGTGTCATCTGCAGTTACTACCTAGAGGTATTGCATAGATCCCAAGTACCAGTAATGGTGAAGAATAGTTATATATATTACCTGCCTCTTTCAATAACATGACTTAGTGGGAGAAGTAGCATGCCTTTGCAGCCTGCTGTATTGCTAACTCTGTATAGTGCTCAACAAGTTCATCTAAGGGATTTCCTGCTTTAATTTTTATTAATTTTTATTATTTACTTGTTTTTCAGTTCAACTTGGATCCACATCCTTCCTCAGGATATTTGTTTGAACTCACTGTATTCTGTCTCTCTTGATCTTTGACTGAATAAGTCACTCTGAAGACTTTGGCATGACTTAATATTTTGAAAATTTTTATGGGAATGTTTTGAGTGAAATTCAACACTGAAACCGCAAAAAGATTACTTGCTGTTGAAATTCCAAATTTAACTATTTACTATAGGGGGCTTACTATAGATGTGGTATGATATGCAAACAGTCATCCTGGCACTCTTCCTTTTTGGCCTATGGTAATCATCATAAAAAGATATCACTTTTTATCACTTGGATATCTAACCTGAGTTGCTACCTGTGCCTTTCCAGAGTAGTTCAAAATTCAAGTAAAAGGGCAGTACCATTAAGATGGGTGTCTTGAAATAGTGGGGCAGCTTGAGAAAATTTATGTTTTAGAAGATGATACTCCTGGGAGTGAAATCTCATAGCCCCATGTGTTTTACCCTCTTCTCACAGGCGAAATTCATTTATTCTTTCATTCATCATGAGTTTTTGCCTGTGAGCATTGGGAAAAATTCATTGGACTGCTAGACAAAATAATTTCACATCCAGAAGCAATAATTTATTAGTCAGAATCTGTTCCAAGTCCACTTTCAGTTTCTCTTTGGAAAATGAAATTTAACACTGGTGACTTATGGTGTGAAACCTAAATTATTTTAGTCTGCATCTTCAAGCCCTCCTTTTCTCCTCAATATGTCTTATCAGCATGAATTGCAAAATTACTTTTGTACCTATTCTTTTGGTTTTTTTCTCTCTTATCCTACTGGGAATGTTTGACATTGGGACAGAACACAACTGAGTGCATGCCTGAAGTGATGAACGAGGTGCACGTACGGGAGACTGATCGACTAACACGTCGGCCGAGGCCTGTGTCATTTTCCTTTTCTACCTCTTCCTGCCCTCCTCCTTTCTCTTCGTCCTCCTCTTCGCCTCGAGTCAAAGTCCAATATGGAAAACCACTCTATTCCAAAGTTACCTCTCCTGCCCATGATTCCCCAAAACCCAAAAAGTTCTCAGAGAGCAAGGTATGTCTTTGCTTGTAATATTTGCAGCTGGCTTGGCCTAGATTGCTTCAACTCGTGAAAAATTTAACCTACAAATGATATATGCTGAGTCTGAATGGAATTTTTTTTCCATCGAAGGAGCTGTATCGGAATCCTGCATTCGCCATGGAGGAACAAGAAACAGAAATTGTAAGGCCAACACAGAACAAAGAAATGTCAACTCAGAGTTACCAGTCACAGTCACAACCATCACCCCCTCGTCAAAGGCCTAAAGATGCCCCTCCTCCTCCTCCTCCATCATCAGTGCTTCTCCAGGCTTCAAGGGAAGATCCTATCAGGTCAGCTCTGCTTCCCAGAAACCTATGTCGATAAAATTGTTTGCTGGTCTCTGTGGGGTAAAATACTTTGTTGATATAAAAGTGAAGTGCAAGCTTAGGAGAATTGAGCATCAGCCATTCTGTAAATTAAAGTCAATGTAAGGCCTTCACTCTAAAAATACCTGATGATGTTATTCAAGCATGATTTTACTAACAAGATCAATATCCTTATATCAGGCTGAGCAGAAGTGCAGTTCCTCAAGTAGCAGAGGGAATGAGGGCTCGATCTGCGACATTGCCCCTGCAACCACAGCAACCACAGCAACCACAGCAACAGCAACCACTGCAGCAGCAGCAGCAGCATAACCTGCAGCAGATGAGCAAGATGACGTTGGCGGCACTCAGTGCAGCTCCAAAGCCGAAGAGAACGGAGTCTGAGAGCTGGGTTGCTCCACGGCGAAAACCAGATGCAAAGACTGACATTCACAAGCATTGGCTCTTTCAGGTGAACAGATTTTGTAACAAGTGTGGGGTAGTCATTGAGCACTTGACACTGTGTAATTTGACATGATGAGAATAAGGACTTAAGTGTGATATTCAAAAGGGGCTTTGAATTTGATTTGGCACATTTCCTAACACCAACTCAAGGGATTGATATGATGTGTCATTATCAGATCCAAAGGTTTTTCATACGTATTCCACATTTTCTTGCATGTGAACCACATGCTTGGACTTTGAGAGCAAGGTCTGACCATGATAGTATCTATTTTGCATATTGTTATTCTGGAAGTGATTTCTTTTTTTTAATCAGGAAGCAGAGCAGCGGCGCATCACAGAGCACCAAGAGAAGAGCCTGCGGAGTAGCACTTCCACACCTGCCGTGAGCAGTCACCCAAAGGGTTATCAGCACATGAATGGCGATAGCTGGAGAAACCAATCGCTCGGTCCTCCCCCCACTGATTCTGCGATGCCCAAGGTCACACAGACCGTTCAGCACAAGCGTACCAGGTGAGCCTCTTCGATCGGAGCTGCTCGAGTTGCATTGTTGCACACTTCCATAGGTTTCCTTGAAAAATGAGCAACTACCATTCTGTTGATCTTCACTTAATTTCGTGCGCTGGTGGCCCTCTGAATTTGGAAAGCATTTAAAACTCTATAGTAAGTAATTCAAACAGTTATTTAAATTTTCATGAAATCTGGTTGTAAAGATCATAGGCTAAAACAGTGAAGGCAAATAAATTTTGTGTGCATTCCATGCATTTGAAGAAATTCTGTATGTGTAGGTCTCCAATATATGAAAACCTCCCATCACCTGGGAGCAAAGGACCAGAATCCCCCAAGTCGAGCTCTGGTTGCTCTCCTCCAATGCTCAGTGTCTCAGGGAAGAAGAAATGTTCCCACTGTAGCAAAGAGCTGGGTTAGTTTTGATGATTTTGCCCTGCATGCCTTAGGCAAGTAATTCGGTCGTTAATGAACTATTTCATGCAACGTTACCATTTACGTTCTTAAGGTCGAGGGGCAGCGATGATCATCGAGAGCCTGCGTCTGTTCTACCATCTGCAATGTTTCCGTTGTTGCGTCTGCGAGACTCCCCTCGGGAACGGGACCACGGGGGCGGACGTACGGGTGCGGCACAACCGACTCCATTGCCATAACTGCTACTCCAACGACCAGGGTGTGCACCTCCCTCATGTTTCATCTCCCTGGTTAAGAAGCTTGGCTGTTTTCAATTCGAGTGGGATTTCACAATAAGATTCCTTGAATTGTGTAAGACCTATTTTAGCCTGCTAATTCCTGGTCAAGGATAATTTGCTCTTGTTCTAATCGCCTTTGAATTAGGTTTTTGGCTGAGGTGTTCTTTTATTATATGATAACATAACAGCACAAATACACTTCAGTTTCAGCCATCGGTCTGGTCACTCTGTGTTGGCAGGTCTTATAATTAAACCATTTTTAAATTGAAGCTTTCTTCACGAAAGGGAAGCTCCTCGTGCAGTTACCCGAACGGTCGTGTGCTAAATCGTATTTGATATTTCTGGGAATACATAAGTGCTTCAAATCAAAATTAGCTTTAATCATAAGTACAGTATGATAACCTTGAGATGAATTGGGTTTTCAAAAATTACATCCAAAGACAATATTTATTATCGTTGTAAAATCAAATTGAAACCCTCATGGAGCAACGTAGGATGGGGTGGATGGTGGGTGTCCCATCTTCACCCCAAGCACCAACTGTTCTGCTTTCCCATCTGCTGGCATCCTCTTCTGCTCTTCTCCCTCCCTTTTCTCTTCGTATTCCCCTTAATTCGCCTCTTATTATCTCACTGGAATGGGTTTTGATCGGCCTGTTGTATTGGATGATGACCTGTCTGCCGAGGGGTAATCACTGGCTGGCACGTGCCAGGAATAATTGGACACGACCCTATCATTTGCGTTAACGTGGATTCCATGTTGGAGTGTAATTTTTTTTTTTTTGCTCTTCTGGCCCTCATTGGATGGATCAAAAGCTTACATTACTTTAGATGCCTGTTTAATCCGAGGTCCTCGATGCATGATCCGCCTTATGACGAAAGGTCAATCGAGGAACTTCTTGTTTTCAGATGATCTCTGGTTCATGAAGCAATCCTGTTGTGAAATCCCGGTTGAAGTTCATATGGTAATATGCAATTATTTCCTCGTCTCTCGAGTGCGTTTTGAAAGAAAGAATTTTTCTCGTTTGCCAGGAGTGAAATTCAGCAAAGTCTGACGGTGATCTCGGCCACACGTTGCCAAAAACAAGAAACCCGGTTGTCGACTCGGAGACGAAACTAAGGACTGCATTTCCTCCTCCCACATTCACCTTCATGGGGGCCAGTCATGTGTTTTTTTTTGCCTTGTCTGTATATACTGGATACATACATACTCACTCTCTCTCTCTCGAGAGAGAGAGAGAGAGAAGAAAGCAGAGAGAAAAAATGCTCATCCTCCCTTTTGGGTGAAATAGGAACTGCAGGGTGAATTCTGCTTGACAGAATCAGTGGTGCTGATCAGTTTTTTCTTCTTTTTTTTTTCGAAGTCACATTGAAATGACAATCTTTTCCGTTTCCTTCGGCTCTCAGAGCCACCAAGATACCCAAGCACGGACAGAGCAATAACCGACACGGCGTCGACACTTCGTATTCCCATTTAGTCATGGCGTTCGACCCGTCGTCCCCCGTTTGTGTTTTTTTTTTTTTTTTTTTTTTTTTTTCCCCGTGTTTGTTAGGTTTTGTGGCCACTCCTCTCTTTCTTTGTGATCAGGATTGATGTACTTATCCAGAGTTTCATTATGCGGAATAAATGAAGTCTTATTTTGCCTAGACGGTCCCCGTTGATCATTCACCAGTTGATCATGCAAAAAAAAAAAAATAAAAACACTCGGTCACGTGACCGAGTCGACCCCCGAGAGCAGAATTGCATATATGCAACCGCGCCTTGAATTCCTGGTAAGATACTCGAACGAGATGACCCAGAAGGAAACACCCTGCGGAAAAAAAAAACCTGCACGGGATAATCTTCATGGAAGCTTTCTTAGAATCGCCATCGGGGTGAATCGCCTCGGAAGGGCGGTTGCCCTCGGAAGGGCGATTGCCCTCGGAAGGAGCGCGGTTGCCCTCGGAAGGAACGCGGTTGCCCTCGGAAGCCCGAGAGGCGAAGAGACGACCCAGGCATCGAGACTCCCAATATAAAAAAAAAAAACGGGGGTCGGAGCTCCAGAATAAACGCACAAGAAGAAACACAATCCAATTTTTAATTTTTTGTAATGGCGTTATTAGCGGAGTGCAGGCTCCCCTCCGGCTATTTACCACCCAGGCCCACCGATCCAAATATATATATATTTTTTCATCCTGTCAGATGAGAAGATACGCCTCGGCCCCCCAACGACGCAATCGGGTTTCGCGAGATTCGCCCCCGGGGCGAAAATTAAATTCGAGGAATCGCGATACGGTTCTCTCCAATTAACCTTTCGTTTGCGTTCGCGTTCGTCCGTGACCGCTCGGTACTGCTCGGTACTTAAGAGACGGTCCGACCGGGAACAATCGATGAACACGCACGTCATCGCTTTTTTTTTTTTATTTCGACGGAAGTACCGGAATCTGCATAATTTCAAGGGATTTTTTTTTTTTAATTCTGCTCTTATGAGAGTTTTGCCATGAGAACGCGACATGACCGAGTGGATTCGACGAAGCCGGCGAGGATTCTCGCAGACGGCTGGCCCGAGCCCTTCCGAAAGGAAAAAATGCCACGCCAGCCGAGTTGAGTTTGAATAATCATAATCACGTGACACGCAGTCTGCATCTCGAGGATGGGCTCGTCTCGTTTCCGCAACCCGCAACCCGCGACTGCGGTGTGATGCGGAAAGTGATGTTTTTTTTGCAGTGGAATGAACGAGACTCCGTTCATCGTGACAGTTTCCTGTCATTGTTATTTCAACGCGATTGCGATAATGGAGAATAATGGGAGAAAGCGGGACCGATGTCTCCGGTACGTTTCCTCCGTCCACGACCCAGCAAAGACAAAGGAATCGAGCGGGATCCCGCCGAAAGCGACGGAGAAAAGCCTCGCCGCTCCGGCAACCCTGTCGTGACGTCACCGCCGCTTCCGTCCGTTCAGTCCTCGCCGCCCTCCCCTGCCCTGCGGTCGTCGCGGAGCCAATTTGGTTGTGTGCGGGCCGAGTCCACGGACGGCTAACGCAGGTGAGGCCTTTTTCTGCAGTGTTCCATCGGGATAGGGGTGGGATATGAACTGGGAGACTGAAAAAAAACTAAAGAATGGAGAGGATGCTTAGGCTAGCGCAACGTGGTTGAACTTTCAATTCCTTGGAATTTAAATTTCCTCCTCACCCTTGGAATTTAAATTTTGCGAGTGATTGCGCCTCCTGCCAACTGTGTTTTTATTTGTTAGTACTGACGGGACAAAGTTGAAAAGGTCTTAAGATGAAATAAAAGGTACTGTGAAGTGAATCACCAATTAACTTTGGATTAACTTTTTTTTGTTTTGTTTTTCTTTTTTTTTTCACCGGGCGCGAACCCACCTGGACGTCGTTTACATGGCGAAGCCAGTTTTTCGGGGGATTTTCATGTTTTCGCGAATTCGGGAAAACGAGCAGTAGGGTTCTGTGAAGCGAAAATAAGCATACGTAAATCTCTGCCGCGGGGCATGATTCCTTTCGGCGTGTTCCTTGATCGGCTGCATTTTTTTGCCCCCCTTGCTCCTCGGGGCATGGGGTGCCCTGGCCGCCAATGACAGTTCAAGGGCGAGGAGTCCCACCTTCATTTTCCTTGAAGAAGAAAAAAATTTCCGAGAGCGAAAGTAGAGTAAAAAAAAAAAAATTTTTTTAACCTTCAAGTTTCATACTTGTGAAAGGAAGGTTCTACAGCATAAGTAGTATCTGCTTCCCGTACCATTCCAGAGGTGTCATTCATAGCGAGGATTTTTCGTAAGTATCGCGAAATACAAACATCCCTTTAATGTACGAGCAGACCAAGGAGGGAGGGAGGGGGAAAGAGACGGCGTAGCTGGGAAGTCGCGACCTGAGGCGTCCAGAAAACTTGCTCGGCTGCCTTCACTGTCTCGCGCATTCATTCTTTATGTAGCGCTTTTTTCAGTGGTGTCTGGACGTGAATTATCGAGTGGGGAGGTTCGTGATCGCTATTGGGAGGGTAGCCTGGTCCGGGTCAAAGCACAAGGATTTGCGTGATTCTCATCAATTACTCAGTTTCTCGGGAACGCTTGATATTTACTGCTCCATGATCCCAGCCGGCTTAGTTCATGTTCCACGTTCGTGACCTCTCTGACTTTCCCTCCTTTGCTGATGAGCTCTCCTTGTGGGAACGGGTTTCTTTCCTTTTCCTTTAAATGGCTAACTGGGTTCGAATGAGATTGGCTTTATGGATTCAGAAGCGAGGTCTAAACCCTTGGTGCTGCTAGGACGAGGTTCGGTCGCTTACTGGTTTCTCGCCTTTTCCACAAATAGCCTGACGATGGAATGGGATCTGTATAGAGTGGCTCGATGAGAGCATTCATTGTTGAATGCTCCAGCATTCGACAAAGAATGCTGGAGTATACCTGTTACCCGGAATACCTGTTAGTATGTGAAGTATTAACTTGTGAAGTGTTGACTTCCCATATGCATTTCCTCCTTATCCCTTTTATTCCTGAATTTGAGTTCCGCTCCTCCCGTTACTGAACTACCTCAGCCCCATTCCCCGCCACAACCGAACACGTGCTTTTTATTCTCTCCCTTCGCCTTCGTTCCCATGGTTTTCTCCCCCGCAACTTCCTGCTCCCGGAAAATTTCGCTCTCTTCCCCCCCCTTTGGCCTCGGAATGATGCATGCGAGCCTGTCAGCAAGGCACATGAACCTGGCTTACGACTACGTGCACGAGGGATGAACCATTGCGCAAAGTGAGATCCGATTAGGAATGATGGGATACTTCGTGATTTCCCCGTTGCGACGTTGTATCTCAGTATTATCTTCCAATTCCGTTTCACCCCATATCTCGAGTCAATATTGTTATCGCTTCTCTTGCTTTTCATTTCATTTAAACAAGCTTCTTCCTTGGAAATGCTTCATGTTCCGATTCTTATTGGATTGCAAAGTCGACCCCCCGATTCCTCATTTCAGGACGAGCAGAAGTGGGAGATTTGAAGCCTCGTACTGTAACGATGTCTGCCTTTTGCTGGGAACCGGATGCTAAGACTGACATTCGTGAGCGTTTGCTCTGCCAGGTGAGGATCTTGTAGCACAGACAATATGAAAGCGATCCTGGGTTCGTTCACTTGCATTAATAAGGAGCGTGAGTTGATCACTGTTTTTACATGGTGATTCCTAGAATTGAACTGTGCTCTTTTGTTTCAAATCAGGAAGTGGTGCAAGAAAAGGGCCTATGGGACAGGTGTCCACTTTTACCGTGAGTCACCCGAGTTGTCGGTATACGGTGAGAAGTGAAGGGAGCAGGTCATTTGGTCATCCCTTGATATTAGAGTTGCTTGGGGTTGCTGAAATGGTTCAGCGCAAGCTTATTGGGTAAGTCTTCTGATCACTTCACCCCTTGTTATTTGGTAGCCTTTGGCTCCTTCACTTGAAAGTAGTGGGAGATGACATTTGTTTTCTATTGAGTCTTGCATTTGGATGCCTTCTGAGCATTGGCAGTATCGATCTTACCCTGCCAAAACCCTTTCCCAAATTCCTGCCTTGCTCTGCCCTTCACTACTGGTGGACTCCTACCAGCTCCAGAGGCAGTGTTTCTCTGTTGGGATTGATCGCAGTTTGAAAAACTGGAGGGACTGCTGAGAAATTTCAATACCATTTTCTCATTTGTATTGAGATTGAGCATATGGACCACTATTGACGTTTTATATTCTAAAAATCTCATGGTTGAGGACATGATACTGCTTGACCCCAGAGGCAGATATTTCCATGAAGGGGCAATACGTTGCCTCTACTGGCTATGGGCCTGATGCCTATCCTGCTTTCTGAATTATTCAAATAATTAATTATAATACTTGGGTAGGCCTGTTGAAGTTCTAGTGACAAAGAAAACTGAAGGTCTTCATGAGACTTGTATCTGTGGTTGAAATGAAGACAAGATGTCTTATTTCCTCAATGGCATTGGTGCTTGCAAGCTTCCACTTTGAAAACTTAGGATCAATAAACCAGAATTGTTTTTTTTTTTCTTCTTCAAATTGATGAGGGGGCATGAGCACTTATATATTTTTTGTTTCTGTCATTTCTTGTTCCTTAGTCCCACTTATCAGTAGGCTGCAGCTGTAAGTTCAGACATTCCTGCTGGGAAACAGACAAAAAACAAAGCTGAAACCTGGTAGGATTCCAGCTGGAATTTACCAGTTGGATTGAGGATGGTCACTAACTGTTTTCTGCTGGAGTCCAGCCATGAGAGCATCTAGGTTACAACTATAACATCTATACTTCCAGGGGCTTGTTCCACTGAAGGTTTACAAATTTCAAGTTACTAGTTACAGGTACTTGCAAGGGTCATGGCTCCATGTTTACCTCTTCCATTGGGTCCTGCTTATTCTTCGCATGACTGAGACATGACCATGTCAAAACTCCTACTTGTCATTTGTATTGTCATTGAGTCATTGTGTACTTTAAATCGAGGGGAACTAAGAGACCTTCCTACCATAAGAAAATCATCATGAATGGTGTGCAGAATTTGA